CTCTCCCATGGTGGGAGCACAGGCATTAGGGAAGCAGGTGAAGGAGAGGCTTGCCAGCAGTGGGAAAGAAGGAGAGATTCTTCCAGAGACCAAGACAGGGCGCTGTGAGACTGTATCTGGGGGTTTCTTCAGGCGAGGGTCTCCCCGCAGGACAGTCCTCCCCTGAGAGGAGACCCAAGGCCAGGTCCCTAACTTTCAGTGGGGACACGGCGGGTGTATCCTCTCTGGGCCTGGATAAGTCCCTGGACCTGGGCCTGCGTGTGGTCCCAGCAGGTGCATCCTCCAGGCCCACCAGGGAGAAACTAGTGCATCAGGAATTCTCTGAGTCCAAGGGCCACAGACCTGGGAGTGCACAGCAGGGAGAAGCAGGGGTGGGTCACATTTGCATGAGCAGCCCCTCCTCTGTGAGGCCCTTGGACAGGGGATAAGACAGTCCAAGGACAGCCCAGCCCCAGCTCTATGGCCTAAGAAGGGGCTGTGTCACCATGGCCTGGAGCCCCGTCCTCCTTGAGCTCCTCACTGCACAGGTGGGGACAGGCCCCAGTGCCCGAGGGCAGCCCCCCAGCCTGAGTCAGATCCCCTGGCTCAGCTCCTCAACCACACGCACCCAATCCCTTCTCTTCCTTCTGATGTGTGTGTTTGCAGGCTCCCTGTCCCACCCGTGCTGACCCAGCCACTCCCCACCCCTGCATCTCCAGGAACAACGGCCAGTCTCACCTGCACCCTGAGCAGGGACATCAGTGTTGGCGGCTCTAACATCTACTGGATCCAGCAGCAGCCAGGGAGCCCTCCCCGGGATCTGCTGTACTACTCCTCAGACTCCGATAAGCACGAGGTCCTCGGGGTCCCCGGTCCCTTCTCGGGCTCCAAAGACGCCTCGGCCAATGCGGGGCTTCTGCGCATCTCGGGGCTGCAGGCCGAGGCCGAGGCGGACTGTCACTGGGCTACAGCTCACGGCAGTCCGCCGAGACGGACTCTCACACCGAGTGCACCGCCCCTCACAGCGTCTCAGAGAAGGAGGAAGTGAGACAAAAAGCCCTTTGCCCACAGGCCTTGTCTCTGAGTCTCTTTTATTGAGAAACTCCTATGTAGGCTTCTGTAGGGGAGTGTTCTGTGGGGAGACCTGTCCTTGAGGAGGAAGGACAGACACACAGATTATGCTGTGGCCTGAGCCAGCACAGGTGTCCCAGCAGAACACCTGGGTGATGGATGAAACCCACCTGCACATGCCCCAGGGTGTGGGGTAAATTAAACAAAATAAATACGCAGTAACTTTTAATATGCGTAGGGGGTTCGGCCACCACCCCCATGATCGGAATGACAACATTTCCATCACCTGCAGGGAAAACCCCCTTCCCTCCCACCAGCAGTCAGGCCAGGGTCCCCCTGCACTCAGCCCTCTGTGGCCCCCAATTCCCTCCTGTGTTTAGTGAGTTCCCTACTGTGCACATTTCACAGGGACTGAACCCCGGAACAGGTTCCCTTGGCAGCGCTCCATTCACCGGCCTGAGGAGCGTGTGCGTTGCTGTGGGGACGTCAGCTCCGCCATCGGTCAATATGCGGATCGCTTCAGGGATGTACTCGTCACCCTTGTGCAGAGGCCTTGCTAAGCTTCTAATTTTAATGCATAGGATATTGAAATAAGCATAATTTATTTTTCCATATTGGTCTTCTCGTCACTTTTTAATCTGTACATTTGTGCGTGCTCCCATTTTGTTCAATAAATTAGTCAGTGGTTGTTTATTGTGTTATGAAAATTATAATATGTGTAATCAGACCATTTTTCAAGTTTTTGTCTCATGCATTCTTGCTTTCCCTGTGGTGGGAGGTCGGCTGTGCTTCCTTTCCCTTTTTCCTAGTCCCCTGTGCCTGGCAGACGCTAAATGTCGCCTTCCCCCTCTTCCCCATCGCTGAGGTGT